GTCAGTTCATGACACCCCTGCCGCCATATCTGAAGTATCTGAAGGAAAAGCACAACTCCAAACCAACTGTGTGTCTTTTTTCTTTGCTCGCCCCCTGTATATTCATTAGTCTTACAGAAGGCGCCATGTGAGAACCAGTTCCGAGTGCTTGAACAGGCCATGCTTCTATCCAAGGCCTGCAATGTGAAGGGCATTGTGGCCTTGGCATGTGCCCGGCATGGGTGCTTCATCCCAACTTGTGTTGCCAATCTGCCGGCCGGAGAGCAGCAGAAGAATGTGGACTATATTCTTCAGGAGCTATTCAGGAATGGCAATTTCAGAGAAGTCCGGCACATTCTCTTTATGTACGACATTGTCTGCCAATACATTGTCCACCTTGCCGAATGCCTTGGTACCGACATACCACAGCATCTCACCATTGATCAGGCGATAGGTTTGATGCACGGTCACAGCCATAAGGATGATTGTTTCCAATGTTTTGCATCCTCATTCATCCGTGGTGCTGCAATCACGGCAGGCAAAATTTTGGAGACTTTATGGGCGTCCCTCAACAAGGTCTCCTCCCAGGCACGGACAGCGACACTGGCCCATCATGCAGAGATTCTCAATGACCACATGAGCAACATAAACTGGAAAAAGATCTTAAATATGCATGAGCGCGGTGCCGAATGTGTGCTGTGCTTTGATAATTGATTGCCCTGACAATAGCCGGATTCCTTTGCCAAAAGTACCAGGAAGCAATTGTAATGCATGACAAGGCCACCACTTACCACGATGGCATGACCACCACATTGAAAGCTGAGGACTGTACAAGGTGGGATAGAGAGATTGAAAGAGCGGAGGTTGAAAGAATCAAGGACTACAAGGCTATGGATATCATGAAGGCCAGGGATATAAAGCAATCTTCAGCAATGTCTAGCACAGATACACCTGCTGCTGAAGGCTCAGATCCAAATGAAGACTGGATATGCCTATCGTTAATGATTGAAGAGCAGCAGCGAGTGCCTCATTGCCTCATTGTGACAGAATACAAAGTCATAATCTTACACAGGATTGAAATACAAGACAAGGTCCGACGATTGATTCGGTCTCCTCAGGAAGAGGATAGGAAAGCCGTGGAAGCTGGGTGTGACACTATTGCCAAACAATTGACAATCCTGGCAGCCTTTCAGGCCAAGGCAGGATATGTTGTGCAAGATCTGTGTCGGCTGCCGGAGCCCATGGCTGAAACATTTGATGATCTGGACGAGCCACCGTTGCCGGACCCAGATGCCGACCTGCGTCCCGAGCGTGCAACTGCTCCTGAGAATACCATTCTACCTCTACCGTCATCAGCAAATATTCCACTCAACCCCCTGCGCCCTTTGGAGATCAAGCTACGAATCAAACAGGCCGATCACTATCTCCAAAATCTTTGTGGGGACATTGCCAAGAAGTCCTTTCTATACACAAACACCATACGTGTGAAGACGATTAAGGCGGTGATGACCTGGGTGAGAGGAAATATTGCGAAGATCAATTACCATATCACAAGTGCTTGCCAGGGTTACTCGCAGTGCCGTGCGTCCCTTGCAGCACTTGGCGCCGACTGGGAATGTTTAAAGAAGTATGCCAAATTGGAAAAGGGCGACACGAAGAGTAGTACCACACTTCTTAACCCAAACGAGCCAGGGTCCACACAACTCCAGTTATCTTGGATATGGCTTGTAGATAGCCTGAGTCCCGATGATAGCCCTAAGTCACTTCAAGAGTGTACGTCTGTGACGCAGTGGCACTGCAGATTTAAACCTTACTTGTTTCAGTCCAGCATGTTCACTATCTCCAGGCCTGAGCTATGAAGCACTGATGGGAGGAAGAGGTCACTCTGCTGAAGCATGAAATGAAGTGGACTGCTCAGTATTTCAAGACAAAATCACAGATGTGGTGGGGGAAGATAACCCCAGACTCCACCAATGGCCAACATGCGTACAGTTGCCAAAAACAAGCCATGTGGGGGGATATGCAACAGATCGCCAAACGTCGGTTAGAATGGTACATCACGCTTATGAGTATATCATGTAGTTGAATCCACGTTTACTACATGTCATCGTCATCAGATATAGTCACTATGTCTTCACCATCCTCATCGGCAACCTCACTGTCTGAAAGAATAATGAGACCAAGGTCGCCGTCCGTGTTGCCTTTGGTGTTGTCGTCTGATATGATTATCCCATTGCCAGGTATGCCGACATCCGACTGATTGCCATCATCAGATGAATCGGTGTCCGGCAATGGTGACAGCATGTACGTGAGTGCTCGGGCCATACCTGAGCTCACATCATATTCCATGGGGGCCTCAAATGTTGGTATGCCAAGTGGAGGATGTCGGAAATGTATTGGATAATACTGTGGCCGATATGGTGGGGGGTCAATAATATCTTCGCTGATGTTGTCAAAAATGGCCGGTGCCTCCATCGCCGTTTGATGAACGCTGCCCATGAAGGACACCGTGCTGTACTCCCCATCTCCATTTGGGCCAGGAAGAGAGTCATTGTATCCTGACCCCACCTCAGGGTGCTTTTCTGGGTCGAGGAGATCCTGCATTCCGGCAACTGACAATAAAGATGGATCTGGCCCATCGTAGCTAAAAGGACAGGTGTGCCATTTTGCTTTGGAATCATTCATGATCATGAAGAGAGCAGCTGCCCAGCGGGATGTGTGGTGGGTACAGGCTCGGGCTGCTGTCACATGCGCATTGACTTCATTCCTGATATCCATTACACTATCCGGTGACCACTTTCCAGGAACGTGATGGAAGACGGGAATAATACCAGTGACCTTCTGATGGTGTCGAAGGCATTGCATGGCTGTTTTCATGCTGAAGAGTGTTTCTGTAGTCATGATCTTACGGGTCCACCATGCCAGTGCATACAAGCACACAAGTCATGTCGGGTTGTCAGAGTCAGGGGCTCCTTGCAATTCCCGAATTACAGCCGCAGTAAAGATTCGGGGGGGATCTTCGGCCCTGGCAATCAACGGGGAACAAGTGATCATTGGCAACGTGTACAGCAATTGATTTGCCAAACAAAGCCCAATGTGGGCTGCTAGTGCCTCCTGATAGCTGTTAATCATCTTTTTTGGTGGTGAAGTATAGTTATAACATACTAGCTCCAAATCTAGGTAGACTTCGAAATGCCGCTTCCTGCCGGCGCCATTGGAAGCCTCCACGGCCAGGAGGACAGCCTGCAACCGAGATTCAAAGTAATTAAATACTTCTTGAAAGTAGGTTGCATCAAGTCCTTTTGATAACATTGTGGGGGTTGGGGACAACATTAAATAAAAAAATTATTCAACTTGATAACTCATTCATAAATAGGCACAAACACTCCAAAACACAACCATACAAATATATTTCAGCAATGAGCAGGGCCGAGGTCACCTTGATGTCGGGCTTGGCATGTCGTCTTCATCAATCTCAACATACCGCGTGGCCACCTTCCCCTTGACCCCCCACCTTGTTGCCAGATCCAACCATATGCTTTTCATAAATTGAGTGACGAGCATCAACAGTCGTTTTGTGTTCTCTGAAACATTGCTGTTCATCACTGGACAACACATCATCCGATGTAAATATGTCGATGCCAAAGTCTTCATCATCCCCTGATGCCTCATCGTCAGCTTCATTGTCTGAGACAATCACGTCGATTGCCAGGTCACCTTTGTCATCATCATTGTCTGAGACAAGTATTCTCATTGCCAACCCCTCTTCGTCCCTGTAATCATTGTCCAAAATGATGACGCCGATTGCATCCATTGCTGGGTCACCTTCATTGCCAGACACATTGTCATTGGACAGCACCACTGTAGCTGGATCCAGGTCATTGCCCGAATCATCGGAGATTCTTACCCTGATTGCCGAGTCGCTGAGCTCAGCTTCGGACTCGTCATCAGAAATGATGACAGCAATGGCTGGGTCCTCAGCCGCCCGTACCTCCCGGTGGTGACTGAGATACTTTTCCAATGTCTTAGGACTTAGGAGTTCAGCTTTCGGATCCGCATTTTCTATCCACCAATTGTGTGCATAGGATGACACCCGGCAGGTACAAGGCGCTTGTGGGCCTTCAACTAGCATAACAATCTCGTCGGTGTATGCATCGCCTGCTGCATAGCCATGAATGAACTTGTCTGCGAGGTCCAGCAATGCAACACCGGGGTTGTCAGGCCATTTGTGAAGAAAAACAGCATGTGCATACACAAAGTTCTGCAAGAAGTATTAGTCTTTTCCAAAGATGAACATGTTGAAGAGCTTAACCAATTCTACAAGCATGCAGCTTTCAAATTGCATGTCTCGTTCTGAGTTAAGGAACATATAAGTGTGGATTTGATCTTGGAGGCATGATTTTTAATCCTCAAACATATCCTGCGCTGCCAAAGCGTAGTGGTGGAAAAGCGACCACCATGGTGCCAGGATAGTTGGTATTGAGTACCAGATCAACAACGAAATCTTCATGTTCAGTCACATGATTTGGAGAGTGCCGAACAACGCAGTGAACTCGAATCGTTGACCCGTATCCCCCCGCCCCCCCAGAGGTACCAAGGGCTTGGTAGCTGTGCATTATGCGTTGTTGAAATGTCCCAGCAGACATACTTGCCACGGCCTGTGATCTGAGGAAAAGTGGTTTGGATAAAATGCAAGTCTATGTAACTCAAGGGGAGGAGTGCGGGCGGGACGTCGGGTTACTGCCCTACTCACTGCGATAAATTTTCACTCTCAGGCAACATCAGCGATCCCAATACTTGATCTCGGCATTCCAGCCGATTGCCAAAGTCCCACTTAGGACTGCATTTGATGACGCCATTGCTGAGCATATGCGCTGTTGAAATGACCCAGCAGAGGTAATTGCCACGTCCAGCCAGCTGACTTGCATCTCATGAACATACTCTGAGCGTTAAGGTACATGACTGTTGCTTCCTGCTTGTATGACCCTACACATATGAAGAAATGTGGTTTGGATGCATACGGCCATATAGCTCAATGGTTAGAGCGCCAATATGTCAAGGACCTGACCCTTCATATGCCTATTGGTGATGTGAGTTCGATTCTCACTGTGGCCATCATGCAACACTTGCAAATTTTTGCTTGTCGGTTGCCGATTGCCGACCCAACATCTTCGGCCCCGGGTTAGGCTACCCACTTGCTGGCCATGTAGCTCAAGGGTTAGAGCGCCTGTGGGTCATCTCTTGACAATAACATTCATTGTAGATGCGAGTTCGACTCTCGCCATGGCTAATAATATGACCTCTGTTTTTGTAGGTCCCAGGTTGCTGAACCCAGTCAGTCCCATGCTACAGGTTCAGGAATTTCCTACATTTTATGGCCTCGTAGCTCAGAAGGAAGAGTGCCGATACCTCAAGTGGATTTTCCCATTTCAAAGGCGGTGACGCAAGTTCAAATCTTGCCGCGGCCAATTGACCACCTTTAAATTTTTTTCGCCTTCAGTGTGAAGGTTGATTGCAGACGTCGTTGTTGGCTTCGGCTCCCCAATTGATGACTCAGCACATTCGGTCCTGTGCTACAAAATTTCAACATCCAGCCACCACTTAGGTGGTTTTACTACCTCTAAGACCATGTAGCTCGGGAGGAAGAGTGCCAATGCTTCATAATTGTGATTCATCTTGCAAGGTGGTGATGCGAGTTTGACTCTCACCATGGTCAATGCACAACACTTTCACATTTTTGTTGCTTTTGGTGTGGTTAATTGCAGAGATCCATCTCGGCCCCGGCTCTTTATCAGCAGCCGGTGCTGACCCAGCACGTTTGGCCCTGCACCACAGAATTAGGACTTCAGGTGGCTTTCCTCCACTTTGAGGCCTTGTAGCTGAGGAAGATGAGTGCCGGGTCTTCATCGAGTACCCTCGCTCTCTCTCCATCTTCACCTTGGTCCCAAGTCATGTTATCTCACGATATGGTTTCTTGAGTTGATTGGAGAATTTAGCGACTACATCGCCCTTGGCAATTGAAATCCATGATTTCGGCAAGCTGTCCCCCACTAAAAATGAGCCCCTTGAGCAATTAAAACTGGCAAGCGCAACACATCCCTGACCCACATTCATGCCCAGCCCGCTCCCCCACCCCCGGCAATCCCAGCCACCGACCAGATCCCCGCCCCTGGCAATCCACCCCGCCAACCGATCCCTGCCAGCCCACTCCCATATCCCATCCACCGACCCCTGCCCCACCCTCAAGCCCTACCCTTTCAATGACCTACTCACTCCCGCTCACCCTATTACCCTATCACTATACTTATCCTGATCACATCTGCTCACCGGTTTACAACCACTACATGTAGACGTC